GTAGCCAATAATGCATCCCTTGCTGTGCCTGATGCCGAAGAAATGAGTGAGATCAAGAGAACATCTGGTGATCCATTTGAGCACGAGGATGATGATGAGGAGAAAAAAGTTGAACCAGAAAATCTTGACAACAGCAAGAAGAGGGAGAGCTTGAAAACCCCTTGGACAGAGGGAGTTTCGCTTCTCTTGAATCAAGCCGTCGAAAGTGGGAGTGCGGTTGTGTTAGACGATTCTTGCTTGGATGCTGACATTGTATACCAAAGGGCCGTTTCTCTGGCCCAATCGGCACCTCCAGGTCCTGTGTTCAGACATGAACGCAAGAAAGTGGCCGAACAGCAAATTGGCATACCTGCAGAAACTGGTTTTGAGGGTACAGAAAGGAAAGGACCCTTGAGTGCAGCTTTTGTTCAGAAGGTAAGTGAGGGGAAAGCTTCAATTGGAGAGGACGATGTAAATGTAGGCCTCAGGGTGGATGAACTAGCTAAATTACTAGCTTAATAGTCCCAATGAATTTGGTAACTTTGTAATTTTAAAAATCAACCTTTTTCAGGTGAAAAAAAAAAGAATTTATGTAAATCTCTATTTATTTCTATTTATTTATATTCCTGCTATCATTCTCCAATAGGAATAATGACAATTACGGAGTATGACATAATGTGACTTTGGTGTACGAAAAGTTTTATTCTTCTATGACCCTGTACTCATTTGCTAAAAAATTACTTATATAACACTATTCCAGACATGTAAATATTAAATTGTTTATAGGACAATGCATCACCATTATCAAAATGGTATTCGTGTGAAAACCTTTGGCTACGAACACCGCCAAATATAATTAACATTTTATAGACTAATAGAATATACTCCGTATAAAATTGTAAATTATATGAATATGAAAATAATAAGATTATGAGAATGAGAGAAATGTAATTCGTAATCCTATCGTCTCATTGTATTCGTTTAGTTTGACTCTTTTGAATCAAACTAAACGAATTTAAAAGTTTCCAAATAAATTTTGAAATTTTGACTCTTATGAACAAATCGAATTTTGAAAGTTTCCAAATAAATTTGGTTGCGAATTAGTAAATCTTTTCTCATTCGATAAAATATTGGTAATAAGAGATATCCAAGGAGTAACACTCAAATTTAATTTTTGATAATTACCTTGAAATGCAATTATATTAAACATATAGTCTTTATAATTACAATATGTAATTTTTACTCTTTGACATGATCTATAGTGGTATGGTTAAAATCTAATTTACCTATTTCTCAAATCAAGTCATACATGTTTTGGGAGGTGAGAACATCTGTTTTTTCTCATGTGATGAAAATCATGTGATGAAAAGGAACTCCATTTTACCGATTTGTTCAGACCCGGCCACCTCCGATCTTTCCCAATTCCACCGCGCCGGCGACTTCGCATTTTCTCTCACAGCTTCATCGAGGTTTCATCTTCTCCCTCACCTTCAGGTGAATCCCCCGCCGCCGCCCCCCCTTCTCTCTCTCTTTAAATATAACATTTAAATTTTGAATTCATATTTCATTTCCCCCGATTTTGTTAAATTTACTCTGGGATTTGCCTTTTGAGATTCATAATCATATAATGATGGTCTTTACGGAGATATGTGCATAATTCTTTTTCTCTGTTCACTCAAGATTCGTTTTTTTTTTTTGGCATTTTGTGAGCTTTCATTTCACTTCCTTTTTTGGTTTACAAATCTGATTAACTGTGCTGATTATTAATTAGGGTTGACAGGTAATTGATTTTGACTATGAAAAAAAGAACAATTTGTTTATTTGGCTGTGCTTTTTGATGCTTTAGCGTGATTTACGTCTATCTCCACTGAATTAGCGGGTTAAATAATGTTTCCTCTTTCCAAAATTAAGTTCCCACCCTTATTGTTGATATCTATAATTATTATACTAAATAAATATTGCGGAGTATTGGAGTATATTATAAACTCATCTTATTCTAAAATTATTATATCTCAAAATGAATCTAATGGTACCAAGTTCACATTATAATTACATTTTTTTATATTAAACATTAACCACAAAAGTCAAAATGAGAACTTAATACTAGGACAAGTAGAGTAGATACCACTCTCTTCTCTAAATACCCATCCTGGAGGAGTTGTAGTTAAAATTACAAGCCTAATGTGTCTGTGATTCTCTGTTTTTTGTTTTTAAAGTAGAAATGGGGATGCTAAATCATTTCATTGCTTAACTATGTGTATCAATCACTGCATGAATTTAAGGCGTTAACTAAATTTCATTAAAAAAGGGCATGCGTTATATTGTTACTTAATTATCAACTGTTAATTGACACTAAATGCCTTGGCGATGATAGATGAAGAAGAATCAGTCAAGTGTTACTGAAATTTGATTTAGGAAAGGGATGCATTATAGTATGCTCATTTGTAATGCTCTCGGTTGTAATTAATCAACTTTTAATGACGCAAAGACAGGCAAGCACCAACGTAATCTGGCTTGGAATTGCGGCCTTTTTTGACAAATGTTTAACAGTTGATTCAAGTTCAAAGATTCCAGTTATGGACTATGGAGTTTTCAATGTTTGCATTTGTTACTTACTAATTACTATGCATTGGCAATGCCATCAACCTGCCTGAAGTTATTTATTGTCTATTACTTGACTGTTTTGCTGATTGGAAGTTTTATCTAACACAAGCCTTGTCTAATGTTTCTGTTTTGCAGATAACTTGCGAAATCAGTATTTTGAACTGCTCCATACATATGGTTAGTTATCAAAACTGTGTATATGGAAAGAGTTGAATAACACACTTCTGGTTCTTGCTTTTCTTGTTTATCATGGAGGATGAAAATGGTCTCAACCTGAGCTTGGGACTACCATGTGGTAGAGGGACAGCGTCACAAAAAGATAAAACCGGGAGCTCATCAAATGTTAGGACAGAAGAAGGTGATAGAAATAGCAATTCGATCAGTGATTTCAAGAACTTTTTTGATGGAGGTACAAAAAAGGTTGATTCTGTTACCGGTTTGCACAAAACTGATCTTGCGAAAAATGAGGGGAATTTTTTTAGTGGCCTTTCCAGTCCCACTGGCCATTCAGACACTACTAAAAGGTTAAATAATGGAGGATTCTGGGCTGCAAGTAGCAGTAGGTCCATCGAAGTAGGAGGGGGAAGGATAACAGATGCTAGCGATGGTCACAAAAGGAAATGTGATATAGATTCTCATGACAAGACGATGGCATCACACATTTCAATTAACACGGATGATGACTCAACTGGGGACAATGAAGATGTAGCTGATTCTGAAGCAGAAAGTAATGGCCAAAATGAGGTTAATAATAAGGATGTTAATGAAAGTACAGGATTACAAGGACAAAAAAGGAATATGTCTTATGGACCTCCATTCTCTCAACCAGTGAACATTGCAAACATGCCTTACTCTCTACCTCTAAAAGATAGCAGTAATCCTAGTGGCACAGTTGGTGTACCAAGTTATCCGGGGGTCCACCCTTTCGTACCTGCAAACATGCCACTGATGTTTGGTCATGTGCAGCTGTCCTCACTGGATAAAGGTAACGTTTGTGCCCCTGCTTCTCATCTTCACCGCCAACAAATTCAACCGCCGAATGCCCGAGGTTCTTTGAACACCGATATGCATGGTGATAGCATGAAGATAACTCAAGGTTTCTTTTTTCTTTTTTCTTTTTTGCTCCTTCCGATGTTTTTATTTTTTATTTTTTGCTTTCATATGATCTATATGATGACTACTCCATTGGGATTTGCAGCTCCATAAAAGTAGTTGCAATTCGGTCTGCTTTTTTAAATTTTACTTCGTACAGAACAAAACAAGAAACCTAGTAAAATCCCACAAAATTCAGAGTGTGGGGAGGGTGTGTACGCAGACCTCACCCTTAATTTACTTCCCTCTTCCTCTGGTTTGATCAAACAACAACGACACATCCTGTAAAACCCCACAAAGTGTATGGTGTGGGGAGGGTGTCTATATGCAGGCTTTACCCTTTACTTTTCTACCCTGTTGTCGAGCTGCACGTTCAACTTAGTATCATCCACTGGTTTGATCCTCACTGGATTCATATGGGCTTCTAGATTCATTCATTTGTTTGTGTCTTTGTGATGCTCGGTTTACAAACTACTCCGTACAATTCTAGAAGTATACTATGATTGGGGTGACTAGTGGATAACAGCTAGGGTTTATCAACAGTTGAAAATGAGATTGCCAAAGTGGACTGTTCAAACCAGAAAAGATGCAATTTTTTTAGTTCTTGATTTTGGTGGGGTTTTTGGTAACATCTTTGTGTTGGATAACTTTAATCTTTACAAGTGTTTTATTTGCTTGAATAGCCAAATGGTTATTGATTCAATTTGATATGATTATTTGTGTTGATGTAGCAACTTCAACACCAGTGGTTGTGCACAGCTCATCTGGCAATGGAAAACATCACACTGCAGAAGAAGGTTCATCGGAAAACGCGAGAGGGAACAACAATAACTTAAGCTTCAGTGGGGCCAAAGACCCATCATCCGAACTGCCCAAAGCAACATCCACTGCAAATGGCCTTCCTCGTGACTTCCCAGGAATCAGACCCGGTCTTGCCGCGGATGTCAAATTCGGGGGCTGTGGCTCTTACCCGAATCTACCTTGGGTTTCAACAACCGGTTTGGGTCCAAACGGTAAAACCATATCGGGTGTCACTTATAGGTATAGCCCTACCCAAATCAAGATTGTGTGTGCCTGTCACGGATCCCACATGTCTCCCGAAGAGTTTGTAAGGCATGCCGGTGAAGAAAGGCCTACAACCACCCAAGAAGCTGTTGGTGGTGGTATGGGGGTAGTATCGTCTTTCCAAACAGCAACTCTGCCGCCTCCAAAGCTGAATGAGTATGATTGCCGGAGACAAAAGACCGGAGCTTTTCGTTTTGAGAAGTGGTTAGTTGTATGTAACGATTTTTAGGTACAACCTTTTGCCAAAACCAGATTCTGAGTCAAATTCTTGTGTAAATGGCTTTGTATTATAGTATTTTTCGTAAATACCTATGGTGAAAATCATTCAATTAAACATGTTCATCATGTTTTATTTAACCTTTTGTAGCAACAAAAAATAAGTCCCAAAAGAATACATTAGGCTACTTGACATTAATAGATTTCTATTGGATTTGCACCCACATTCCTTTGCTAGGCACGCCACGGTGCACGACGAAGAGCAAGTAGTATCCAGGCGGAGATAACCTTGTTTCTAACTTCATTGAGCCCCAAAATAAGCAATCTCTGGCCCTGAGAGAAGCCGTGAGTGGTGAACGGCGGCGGGTACATGGTGACCTTAATGTCCTCCACGCCCACGTCGGCCTCCAAATTGATGTGCACGTTGAAATTCTGACCGTAACTCAACTGCTTGTCCGAAAGATCCTCTGCGATCTCCGGCCGGAACTGGGCGAGCTCGGCGGCCAAACACGGCAGCGAGAATTTCTGTTAAAATGTATACCAAAATTTTATTTGTACTTTTTGTTAATAGAATTTTAATTTTTTGTTTTTGATATTTTATTGTAAGTATGTTTAATAAAAATATTGCACAAAAAAATATGTTAATGAGAGTTGAATGTGTGCAGTGATGCAACGAAAGAAGAATTACCATACTCCGTTAATGGATCCTCAAAAAAATTGTATTCATGGATAGAGTTGCACGATAGAAGGAAACAAAAAAAAAAAAAAAAGAAAGAAATATGAGGCGATGTAGAAAAAATCTCACAAGAAATGCTCGGCTAATGTGTTTTTGATATCGGGAATACGCTTGAGATATCGAGTAGCGGGGTGTTGGCAGATATTCCATATCTCCAGATTTCAAATCTGGATATCTTTTTTATCTCACCAAACACCTTTTTTTAAAAAAACTGATATCTTAGATATGAAGTTCCATATCTGAATTGCTCACCAAACATGCCCTAAAGGAGGAGAAGGAAATGAATTGAACACACAAATTACCTTGGGGGTTGGGTGGTGGTGGTGCAGCGCTGGGTTGTGCGGATCGTGCAGTTAGCCAATTGCGAAGCTTTTTTCCTTGGTCAGCCATATCCACCACTGCGATCAAAAACAAAATTGTGAACAAATAAATATTTAAAAATAAAAAAAATAAAAATGCCATATTTACCAATCGTCCATTGTTCCTTCGTTTTAGAGTATGCTCCCGTCACTAAACCAAAGATGGTTGCAAGAGCCAGCCGCCCACCTCGGCCGGTTTCCGGCCATGATTTTAAATCTCCACTTGGGGGCAAATGGCCAGCTTGGACTTTGTCCGGAGGAGCCAACTCATTTGCAGGATTCGAAGGACAAATTAATTTCTATTTCAAATGATCTTCTTGACAATGTTACTAATCTCAGTTCAGACCAAGTCGAGAATCTGCGCAAAGAAAGGTTTTATTTTCTAGAAAAGCTCTCTGTTCTATTGTTCCATACCACCTCGACAACTGTATTTTATCCAAGCAAAAGATAAAAAAAGAAATTGTTTGAAATACAACTTTTGGATGTGGAGTGATTTATAATTTTATGAATCATATATTTTTATTGGTGCCCCGTTTAAATTCTTCATACTTGGTTTGCAGTGGGCATGTACACACTCCCCCACATATACAACAACCTAGTAGAATCCCGCACAATGTTAGGGTAAGTGTTCACAAACCGTACCCCTAGTCCAAATTAGGGACCCCCAACTCACAAAATAGGGGCAAATGAGCTACTATACACTAACAAAGTACTATCCAAGACCCAAGAGAGGGGAAAGAAGAGGGGAGAACCACATTAGTAATGAACAAAAAGTTGACTAATGCCGGGGAGACGTAAGCCCTGCCTAATCACCCCCTCTTCCTAGGTTTATCTCTACCACGACTAACCTTGCCTTCATAAGCCTTTCACACATCTTGACAAAGGCTTCAACACCCTTCCTCCTAATGTGCCCAAACCACCTAAGTCTGGCTTCCTATAACTGTGTGCGTGCGGCGTGATTTATGTGAGAATGACTTTTAATGTGAAAAATGTGAATGAATCATTTTTTTTCTCTTTTTAAATGTGTATGGTGCATTGGTGCATATTTGGTACAACCTTATGCATATTTATGCATAAACTAGTGCATATTTTGATGTGACATAAAGTTTTACTTTTTTACAAATATGCCATCACAATTTTTTCTTTAAATTTTTTTATGCACACCTCTTAAGATATTTTATCCAATGGACCATATACATTCTTCTTTCTCTCATTATACATCATTCTCATTTGATCCAAAATCTCTCTCTCTATATGTGTGTGTATTATATATGCGCTATGTGTTACTTGTTGCATAAAATAAATATTGTAGACAAGTTGACGCTTGGTGAACTATGCTTTAATAGATTGGAGTAGAATACTCAAATTCAACAGCTTGAGAAGTATCTCCGCACAATATCAGTTAAAGCAGAAAGAATAACGTCACAGTTCTCTGCATCCACCACAGCTCCAAGGAAAAATTTGAGACTCCTCAAACAGTTCCCAGAGCATATGGTGTTGCCAAGTAGAGCTTTAATCTTAGGAGTGTTTAGAAGTGTTTTTTGTTTCACTTGTGTTTTTTGTTCGGCAGGCATGTTCCAAAAATGCCCTTGTTGGGTATTTGCACGAGGAAGATGAAATCGAAAAGCTAGGATCTTTTTAAATCTATTAAGTCATAAATCATATCATATAGAGTAAATATGAATCTGGCTATAGAAAGTATACTAAGATGAAGAAGAAGAAAGAATTAACTATTTATTTTAGTAGTTTAACCTGGTTACTGAGGATGATCCAGTGTGTAGGTCGGCCCAAGCCCATGAATGCTTATATTGGTAGGCTTGCTTGTGAATTCATTTCCTCTCAATATATATTCTCTCTTTAGATTCACTCACTCACTCTTTCTCGCTCTAACCAGAGTTCAAGTAATCGTTTATCTAATGACAAATATATTATGATTATTATTTACTCTCATACAATTATTAGAAGAGTCAATGCTTTACTCTTATTTATATACGAAGTATAAAGTCTATTTGAAGATACTCTGTGATGAACTTGTTTAACAAAAAATTTAGTGTTTAATATTAACGTTTTCATTTTAATTAAACTAAATGACAAGATTTAATTTTAATTTTAGTTTTATAAAAAAATTAATCTACATCAGTAGAGATTATCTAAAACAATAATACTAATTGGAAAGAGATTTTTCCAAGTGTCCACACATAACAATGTTGGGAGTGAATCATGTAGTATTTTCTTCCGAGCCTCTGCCCCTATATGGATATATTCAGTTTGATTTTTTTCCCAATCAAATACTCCGTAGTAAATTTCAACCATTAATTAAATAAGTGTTATATTAGTACATACGGAGTATTAGTATAAAAATTATTTAATTAGATTTATCTTGTAAATTACTTTCAAAAATGTAATTTATTAAATCAATATACAATCTCATATTTATTTAATTGGTGATAAAAATTAATCAAACTTGACTGTAAATAATTAAACTAGACAAATATAATGAGAAAAGAAGAGTATGTGACGTGCCTAAACCAAAATTTACCGATTTATTTTGGTGCATAATATAACAGCAATCGCTGGTGAATTTTGTGACAATAGAATGCAATTAGGAAGACAGAATAGGTAATAAATTCATTTCAATAAATAAATATTAATAAAACATTTACCAACCAAATTACTAAATTTGTTAATGACGGTCAATATAAATATTGTGGATTAAGCTCCTCTCTTATTTGCCAATAGTTTGAGATACAGCAAGTGTCCACTAATTAACATCAAACAAGCTAATGAGTTCAATGGCAAAGTTTTCTAACAGTTTTATCTTCGCCGTGTTCATTATTATTGCTCTTACAGGTAATCTAATTATATTATATAGAGTATAATTAATTAATGTACTCCGTTTTTCACTAAGAAAGATGACGAATTTGATTTGATTTTTTTTTTTGAATTGTACTCTGTATTATTTAAAGAAATGACAAATGCAATTATTCTGCCTGTTACATGCCGCAGCTACAAAATGGGTGGTGAAAACGGACGCAATCTGTGTGGTGGATCCGAATAATTGCGTGTTACCAAATTGTAGAAAAATGTGTTATCTACAGTATGGACAAGCGTTTGGACAGTGCCTCCAAAAGGCGGGCGGCGACCCATTCAATCCAAAATATGAGTGCATTTGCACGGGCGGCAAATGTAGTTAATTAAATAATTATACTTAAAAATTATTATTACTCAGTTTTGTAACTTCGCCTTAATTATTGTTGGAGCCTCACGAGAGTAATGTTTGTTACATTTATTTCAACTTTTAATAAATTATCAAATTTTATTTGCTAAAAAGAGATGGAGTACGTAGATTTTTTGTTTTTGTCTCGTGTGTTTATGTGAGCATATAAAATAAAAAAATGTGAAATTAAATCTTGTTATATGGTTTGACAAATTATCCAAAATAATTTCAACTTTACCTTGCTTTCATAAATAATCATAATTTTCATTGTGATGCATATTACCAATTAACTTTATTGAAATTTGCAAGATTTGGATCTCAGTTAAGTTACTAACAGCAGGTTAACGGAAACAGTTTATTTTGCGCAACAAAGTGAAAATTAAGATTATTTTTTATGAATATTTGTTTTTTTCACTTTATAAAGATTTTCAATTAAAAATATCCTTAAAATAATAAAATATCCTTGTCACATCATATTTTGTAGAAATTTTGATATAGTTTTGAACAATATAATTCATACTTTTTTATGATATTCGTAAATAAAGTAATACCTTTATGGACCAAGTATGTTGTATTGTCTCTCTGACACATAATTTTATATGACTAAATGTGATCATTAACAACAAATGTTAGATAATGACTGATTATTTTAATAATGACTATTCAAATTATTTTCATTAATGTCTAATCTACTTAAATTGTTGAATATATCATTTTTCTCAAAGACAAGATTTTAGAACCACTTTTCATTGTCAAACTTAAGAATAATGACTCTACAGGTCATGTTTAACAAAAAGTGATATGCTTAAGTCTCATTTACGTAAATTACTCTTATCTTTTATCAAGTGCAAAATAGGTGGTAATTAGTAAGGATATGCTATGAACATATTGTGATGTGGATTCGAAGAATTGAGTGTTAGACCACCCGTAATGTCTCCCATTCCTCCTGCGTGATCCGTCGTGGCATATCCCAGAGTGACCACGAGAAACACCGCCCATTGGCATTGTCGTGATCACACTGGCATCTACTCATCATACCTTACTTTTACTCATCACATCATGAATGAAATTAGAAAGTCAATTCTAAATAATGCTAGTATTAATTGACTAATTGATGTAAGCTAGTGATATATTACATTTTCGTTGTTGCGTGTATGCCAAATGGATAGTGAGCTCTTAATTATCCATTTGAGTTCATAGTCATGTGGTCATCTTTCTATCTACAAAAAATGACACTCATTCAATTCCACCTACCTCTATGTTTTAAAATGTCATTATCGACCTCATTTTTTTAATTTAAAATGCACTTAGCATCTATACTTTATTTAAAAAGATGTGAATTTTTTCCCGCCCATACATGAGACTCATATATAAAAAGTGTTGACAACACAAATGGTAGTTTAATTGTTTTGCCTCAATATTTTCCTTCCATTTTAAGTATATTTTCATTTTTATTTAAACGTTACACCATTTAAGTATTTAAATTAAATTAAAAACTACAAATTAATAAATATGGTACGGTAAATAAATGGTAACATTTATGTACAAAAAAAGTTAAAAAACTACAAATTAATATTAATACTATAATTTACAAGCATGGAAACGTTTTAAAAATGATAAGTGTTCTAATTAGAAAATAAAAAACTAAATATGGTATGGTACGGTAAGCAAATGGCACCATTTAAAAATGAAAACAAAAAAATGGTAAGTGTTTCAAAATAAATTAGGTAAGTGTTCTAAAATAAAAGAGAAAGTAAAATACATCTAAAAATGATAAGTGTTCTAAAATAAATTAGAAAATAAATGTGGTTCGGTAGGTAATTAGTACCATTTAAATACGAAAATAAAATAAAAAAATTGCAAAATTAATATTAATACTATAATTTACAAACATGAAAATGTTTTAAAAAAGGTAAGTGTTCTAATTAAAAAATTAGTCAATAAATATGGTATGATACATCAGTACGAGAAGCAAATGGTACCATTTTAATACAAAAATAAAATAAATGTTAAGTGTTATAAAATAAATTAGGTAAGTGTTCTAAATAAATTATTTGAAAATGAAATAAATATCAAAATGGTAAGTGTTCTAAAATATATTAGAAAATAAATAAGATACGGTAAGTAAATGATACCATTTAAATACAAAAATAAAATAGAAAAACTAAAAATTAATACTATTAATTAATACTACAATTTACAAGCACGGAAACGTGTAAAAATGGTAAGTGTTAAATTAAAAATAAATACAGTACTGTAAGTAAATGGTACCATTTAAGTGCAAAAATAAAAAAATTATAAATTAATACTATAAGCATGGAAACACGTAATAATGGTAAGTATTCTAAAACTAATACTATTAATACTATAATTTACAAGCATGGACATATGTAAAAATGGTAAGTGATCTAAAATAAAATATAAAATAAATACCGTAGGATAAGTAAATGGTATCATTTAAATACGAAAATAAAATTAAAAAACTACAAATTCCAAAATAAAAACATTAATATGTTGAATTATTGCTTAGATAAGTCAAATTATTGAATTTTTGTCAGGGACAATATCGAAAACATGTTGAATTATTGTTACGGAAACCTGTATTTAGTCATGGGCAAGTGTATATGGCTTGAAGATCCTGATATACAACGAAGTGAATGCTCACACGAACTATACGAGTAATGTAGTTTATAAAAAAGTCTTTCAAAATTTGTAAATCATTTTATTTTTGTACTTTAAAATAATGAAATCTCTACATTCCAATATATACCAATTTATATTCTTAAAAATGACCTTAATTTAATAACGTAACTATGACCCGTGCAGC